TGATGTGCCCCTGCAAAATCATTTCACCTTTACCAATCCTACTTGTTTAGTTATAAGGAGGTCGCTGTCCTTCAGTGTATTTGGTTAAGTCAAATTGGAGGCATGGCTCAAGTGATAGAACACCACCCATGAGCAACAAAGCTGGTGAATATTTGAGGCCTAGTTCAATCCCCAGCACCAGGGTTTTTCATAAAAAATGCTGGGGGGTTGGGAAGGTGGGGGGCTCCTTACACCTTCAGAAAATCAAAGCAACCTCTTTGTTTTCTTTTTCTTCTTTCCAGACAGAAAAAAACAAAGGTAGAAAACATTGTTAGAATCACTAGCCTTTCTCCATTAGGGTTTTGTTTCCGTTTTTTGATCAGTTTCTTCCCCTCCCTACCCCACCTTGCTGTTTCTTCTTTCCTTCCTTCCTTTCCTTCTTCCCTTCTCTCTTTCACTGGTCAGGGCCTGGATGCTGTCTCAGCAGTTTTTGCTCCAGGCTAGTGCTCTACCACTTGAGCCACAGCTCCACTTCCAGGCTTTGGTGACACTGGAGATAAGAGTCATAGACTTTCCCGCCCATACCGGTTATACAGTGATCTTCAGATCTTAGCCTCCTGAGTAACTAAGGTTACAGGCATGAACCTCCAGGTGCCTGGATTTAGGTTGTGTTTCCAAAATGAGAATATCAGACAAGAGAGCTTAAGGGAAAAGAAATTAATTTATCATTGCGATATAAGAATTCCATCCGCAGTTCTGCCAACAAAACAACAAAACAGTGTTACTCGATGATGGAAAAAAATATTCCATAACTCTGAGATGTAGTTGAATGCTAGTCACTGATCCAGAATGTACAAAGCCCAGGGTTCAATCCAACATGGAGGGGGGCGGGGGCAGAATTCTGTGGCCTTTTGAAAACTTCGATTCAATTCCATGCTTGTCTCACATTTCAAGAATAAAACCTATTTCTCTGAAGTTTTTAGAGCAAAAGCAGAAACAGCCAAATTCACTAAAAATTGAGGGTTTTATTTCTATGCACCACTAAAGGATTTAAAATCAACTTCCTTCTTCCAGGAGGGACTTAACATTCAGCTAAAACACTGTCTATCACTTTCTTAGACTTAAGTTGGGCCTATGTTGTCTTGCTATCAATGTAGTAGCCTGTTTCTGTGGGGTGTGTGGAAGGTATTTGCTATATGCTAAAGCTATTAAATTTTCCACTTCCATAATATTTATTATTTGTTAATTTAGTGCTAGTACTGGGTCATGAACTCAGAGACTTGGGTTCTTTTTTTTTGGGGGGGGGGAGGTCCAGTCATGGGGCCTGAACTCTGGGCCTGGGTGCTGTCCCTCAGCTCTTCAGCTTAAGGCTAGCACTCTACCACTTGAGCCACAGTGCCACTTCCGGCTTTTTTCTTTTTGCTTATGTGGTGCTGAGGAATCGAACCCAGGGCCTCATGCTTG